CTCTTTTTGGGTCTGGCTTACCTCACTCAGGATGGTGTTTTCTATTTCCATCCATTTGCCTGCAAACTTCAAGAAGTCCTTGTTTTTTACTGCTGAGTAGTACTCTAATATGTATATATTCCATACTTTCTTCATCCATTCTTCAATTGAAGGGCATCTAGGTTGTTTCCAGGTTCTGGCTATTACAAACAATGCTGCTATAAACATAGTAGAGCATATACGTTTGTTGTGTGATAAGGCCTCTCTTGGGTATATTCCCAAGAGTGGTATTGCTGGGTCCATGGGTAGGTTGATCCCAAATTTCCTGAGAAACCTCCACACTGCTTTCCAGAGTGGTTGCACAAGTTTGCATTCCCACCAGCAGTGGATGAGTGTTACCCCTTTCTCCACAACCTCTCCAGCAAAGGCTATCATTGGTGTTTTTTATTTTTGCCATTCTGACAGGTGTAAGATGGTAAAAAGATGATACTTTATATCATCTCCTGGCCTCCACATGTGTACACGCACATACATAAGGTGTGCACGTGCCACACACATGTGTATACACACATGTATGCATAGTTGTCACTGGCCAGGGGACAAGGGGAATAGATGATTATTCTTAGCAAGGTGTCTTGGGTATGGTGGCTTTATTCCTGATGTGTTCCTTTGGGTTAAATCCTAAAAGTGATCCTGAGAGGCAGGGATTATTCTGCACATCGCACACAAGGAAGTGAAGGACAGAGCTGTCATGTAGTATCTATCTACTATTACAAGGCTAGTACATACCTGAGCAGAAACAGCACGGAGCTGTATCCCCTGTCTCCAGACCTTTCTAGAGCTCTTTGATAGTAAAACAGGCCACTCAGGGAGTAAGCAGCTGTTGTTGAACATGGTGCGGGGCATAAGGTGGAGAGACAAATGGTTGTATCGGATCGCCCCAAAGATCCTTACCCTGTGCTCAAGGCTCAGGTCACACGGCATCTGCCTTCTCTTAGGCCAGTAAGTCCAAGTCAGCCATTCCACAGATGCTCATTAAAGCCTTCTCAGAGCCAGCAATGAACTAGACTCGGTGTCTGTCTTTAAGGGACTGGCATGGAAAGTCTGACCCTCAGGTTTCCCACGGGGGCCAAGGTTCCCTGGAGGCTTAGGAAACATCCCCAAGAGAGAACGGAGGAAGGGCAAGTGCTTCAGATGCTGTGCTGGGACCTGGGGATACTGAGGTCGGAGGTGGGTTCCCAGGATAGCAGGTCTGTGGGGCAGGGGATGGTGGATAACAGCCGAAGTCCGGTGAGGGTGAGGAGGCCATGGAGACAGATGAGTCTTTCTGGGAGAGAGGCGGGCTGACACTCACTGGGAGCATTTCAGCAGAGAGGCGCCCAAGAGGCAAGGTGGAAGGAGACTAAAGAGGTCTCCATCAAGGCAGTCGAGTCAGGGAGGGATTTTAGGATGGAAGCCCCGCAATGATGCCAACAGGCGGACTGAGAAGGGAGCTGGCGAGCACCCTTTCAGACTTGGAGAGCTTGGACAGAGGAGCAGCCCGAGTGGTCAGGGCGTGGGAGGAAAGGGAGGAAATCCTAGCGGTGAGTGAGGATGGGGACAGGAGGGCCGTGAGCAACAGCAGTCACCTGCAGGCTGCACCCTCTGCCTTTGGTACCCACAGGGCTCCTCCAAGCTGGAGAAGGCCGAGGTCTTGCAGATGACGGTGGATCACTTGAAGATGCTCCACGCCTCCGGTGGCACAGGTACAGTGTTACTCACACTACATGTACTTTGACAGAGGGCATAAGGATCAACGGGTGAGTTCAGACTAGTAGACAAAGTAGGTTGTCATTGCCCTTCTGTGGAAGGACTGACTTAGATTCCAGCCGCCATTTGCCAAGCTCCTCTCTCTTCATATGTTCTTCCTTGGTGTTTGCTTTTTGTTTGTTTGTTTGTTTGTTTTTGTTTTTTGTTTTTCGAGACAGGGTATCTCTGTGGTTTTGGAGCCTGTCCTGTCCTGGAACTAGCTCTTATAGACCAGGCTGGTCTCGAACTCACAGAGATCCGCCTGCCTCTGCCTCCCGAGTGCTGGGATTAAAGGCATGCGCCACCACCGCCCGGCTTTGGTGTTTGCTTTGAGCATAGGGTTTCCCTCTGGAGCCCACGCTGACCTCAGACTCACAGATCCTCCTGCCTCCGCCTCTAGAGCTCTGAGATAACAGGCAAGAGCAGCTACAGCAAATTGTCTCCCCTCCTTCATTGTCCCCTCACTGCTTCCCACATCTCCATTTGGCCTAACCCTTTCTTCAGTTGACTCCTACCAGTCAGGATTGTTCTGTGCACCGGGCTTCCAGAAGCCCCACCAGCAAGACCTGGTTAACAGGTAGACAGCTTATATAAGCAAATTTTCACCAGAATCCCCATCTTCAACTAACCTGAGAGTTTAGACACAGACATCTTGCTGATGTCTCTGGGCGTAGGCCTTAGCTTCTGGACGTATCTTTGGCAGCACTGAGGAGCCAGTCGTTCTCACAGCAGGTGTCAGAGCACCGGAGGAGGCAAGCCATCCCATCATTTCCTTAGTGCCTTCCCTTAAATCTGTGGAGCAGCTATGACCTTTAGAAGGACTCCCGGGTGAACGGAAATCTTGTCTCGAAGTTTCTAGGTGTGTTTGGTGATTTCACGATCAGGAAGCCTTCACCTTCCACAGACCTTAGCTACAAAGATGTAATGCTCAAGAACAGCTTTCAACTCTGGGGGAGAACAGTGGCGTTTTTAAGTGGTCCGAATCCGTGCTGCTGGGACAGGCAGCACCGCAGGGTCTCCCCAAAGGAGGCATTAGACTGTAGGAATTCACAAGTTTCGCAGACCTACCCAATAACTTGAGAAGTCTGCCCAAGGAACACATTCCAAGCAGTGGCACCCAGCGGGGAGAGGCTTCAAATTATATTCCTGGTTATCCTATTAAAAGGGAAGGGTGATTAGCACGTGGGCAGCGCTTTCAAATGTTTTCACTTATCTCACGAGATCTAGGAAGGAGGGGGCGGGGGGGGGGCAGCTGTCCTCGCCACTCTGGCTCAGGCTAAGAGCGAGGTCAGAGAATTGTGGTTGGGAGTGCGGGCTTTTGATTTGAATTCTGGCTCTGCTGCTTCTTAACTCTGTGGCTTAAGACAAATGGTTTTATCCTCTCCACCCCTGGGTTTCTTTAGCTGTAAAGTGGGTACGGTACAAGCGTGTTCAGGATTGAATTAGATACTGGGGTGAAGTGTGCAGTAAGTGTGAACTCAGCAGACGCTTGTTTAAAAGAACAGCCTAGCCGGGCGTGGTGGTGTGCACACGTAACCAAAGCTCTCTGGGAAGTGGGGGCCGGAGGATCGGGTGTTCCAGATCATTGTAGGCAACACAGTGAGTTCCAGGCCAGTCTGGACTATGAGAATGGCTATCTAAAAATTAACTAATTAATTAGAAGAGGCTGAGGATGTAGCTCAGTTGGCAGATGCTTGCTTGCTATCCGCAAAGCCTTGGCTTCAATTCTGTATTAACCAGGCATGGTTGCCCAGGCCTGTGGTCCCAGTACTTAAGAGTGTGGAGACAAGAAGATCAGAAGGTCAAAGTTCAGCTACATAATGAGTTGAAAGTCGGCTTGAACTACATTTGACCAAGTCTCAAAGTACATAAAGAAATAAATGTCGCCGGGTGGTGGTGGCGCACGCCTTTAATCCCAGCACTCGGGAGGCAGAGGCAGGCGGATCTCTGTGAGTTCGAGACCAGCCTGGTCTACAAGAGCTAGTTCCAGGACAGGCTCCAAAACCACAGAGAAACCCTGTCTCGAAAAACCAAAATAATAATAATAATAACAATAACAATAATAATAAATAAATAAATAAATAAATAAATAAATGTTTAAGCAGGCCAGCGGTGGTGCATGCCTTTAATCCCAGCTCTCTGAGTTTTAGGCCAGCCTGCTCTACAGAGTGAGTTCCAAGACAGCCAGGGCTACTCAGAAAAACCCTGTCTTAAAAAACAAAGAAAGAAACTCGTGTGTGTGTGTGTGTGTGTGTGTGTGTGTATGTGTGTATATGTGTGTGTGTCTGTGTGTGTATGTGTGTGTGTCTGTCCGTGTGTGTGTCTGTATGTGTGTATGTGTGTGTCCGTGTGTGTGTCTGTGTGTGTGTATGTATGTGTGTGTGTGTGTGTGTAAGATGAAGAGCACAGCAAACACAGAGGTGCATCATCACACGGCATAGCCAAGTCTCACCCCAAACTGCCCAGACTTGGCAGTCTCCTGCTGTGCTGTCCTGTCCCCTCCAAGGGTCCCCAGCCCTGCCGCTCCTTCTCTGTCCAGAGGTGGCCGAGAGAAGGGCAGGTATGTAGAGGCAGTAGAGGTGTGGATGCCTGTGTGGACGGTCCACCTGGGCTGCCCATCAGTGACATCAGGCCAAGAGAGAGCCCTTGCCTGATGGCAGCCGCATGGGGCCAGGACATTCCAGCTGCGTTCTGAGCTGGAGGATGAACCCAGATGCAGCAGCAGCTGGGCCAGTGGCAAAAGCAATCACTGTGTTTCCATTTATGGAGCGGGTCGGAGTCCCGTTTCGTTTCACCCTCTCTACTCACGGCAGCAGCGAATACTACAGCAGCGAGCATGACTTCCATTGCCTCCCCATTTTCAAGCTAAGGAAACTGAGGCTTAGGGATGCTCATCTGTGGTCAGTTTGAGTGGCAGATCCACGATCCGAACCCAGCTCTGGTGGCTCCTAAAGGCTTCACCACTGCACAGCTGTGCCTTCTCCAAGAGGCCTTCTCCTCTGATAGCTGCTGCCGTTCCCTCCTCCCCCCAAACCTGCCTCTTTTCAGAGTTAGTCTGCATCTTCTATAGGTGCTGTCTTTTCACAGGCGTCTGCTTAGAGAAATTATGTGGGCCACAAGATTTTCTTCACATTCATGTTAATCACGAAGTGTGAGGAAAATACATTTTGTGTCCCAGCGTGGTTTCTTGTGCTTTATAATGGGAGACTGGGACTCAGAGAGGTGAAGGGATATGTCCCAGGGAACGGGGTCATTATAAACTATACAGGTGGGGCAGATCACACAGGGTATCTTCCCCCAGGCCCTGTGCTTCTCTCCCTGGCATGCCCTCATGGTACTTTACTTACAGGGTTCTTCGATGCCCGAGCCCTGGCTGTTGACTTCCGGAGCATTGGTTTTCGGGAATGTCTCACCGAGGTCATCAGGTACCTGGGGGTCCTGGAAGGACCCAGCAGCCATGCAGACCCTGTCCGGATTCGCCTTCTCTCCCACCTCAACAGCTATGCAGCTGAGATGGAGCCTTCCCCCACACCCACTGGGGCCCTGGCCTTCCCTGTGTGGCCCTGGTCCTTCCTCCATAGCTGTCCAGGCTGGCCTTCCCTGAGCAGCCAGCTCGCCATTCTGGGAAGAGTGCCTGGCCCTGTCCTCCCCAACGTCTCCTCTCCCACTTACCCCATCTCTGCCCTCCGGTCCACCCCAGTACACAGAGTGGCTGGTACCATCCTGCCAGCCCGGAGGAATCTGTTGCCTAGTCGAGGGGCAACTTCCACCCAGAGAGCCCATCCTCCTGAAAGGCCAGCTGCCCCTCCCCCCACAGCCCCTGGTAGCAGGGTTGCCAGGAGCAACCATGTGCTCTCTGTCCTGCCATCGTCTTCCCCCACAGCCCTTGGAGCTGGGAAGTCTGATGACAGTCCATCCCCTTTGGGGCCAACTGGGAGGCCATCAGCAGCGGTGTTCTGCCACTCCTGGGTCTCTGAAATCACTGAAATTGGGGCTTTCTGAGCTGACCCCCTACACCCATCCCCTAGAAATGGGGAGCGTTGCTATTCTCCCCCATGAGCTCTGAAAAGGCGCCACCTTTTCTAGACCAGCTTCGATACAAAGGCCTCTCTCCTCCCCCGTCAGAGCCCTCCCAGGCCCCTACTCACGACCCATCCTGCTGCCCACCTGGCTCCCGTCACCTTTTCAGAGCTCAGAACCTTAGTCTCATTTTCCACAGGCATACATGAACTACATGGTGCCTGAGACCCCTGAGGCCCTGAGGCACTGTGGACCCAAGACTCATGGCCTTTGAGTCTGGAGTTGAAGCTTTAACCTAACGGCTACTCCCATGATGAGGTGGGACTCGCAGTCCTGAGGGCTGGTGGGATTCAGCCACCCCCAGGCCAACAGGATGGAATGTGCCGTCTGCTTCACTTCCTGAAGACAGATATGAAGCTGTGGCTGTTGAGCCGTCTCTGTGGCCCCTCCCAGAACAGGGAAGCACAGGACAAATCTGTTCTCCAATCAGTTAAGGCCTGCAGCTACCATCGTCCCAACTTCAGCCGCCCACCTGACTGACTACCCACTAAGGCTTGACAAGCCAGGCCAGGAGGATTCCCCACAGCAGCGGAGCTCTGGCGGGATGTCCCTACCACCAGGTCTCCACAGTGCTTCGGACAGGAACCGGGGCTGAGAGAGAACAGGAGAGCACCGCTCCTTTTCTCTTGGGTACCGTCCTCTGGGACTGTGACCCTTCCCACAGAGTGTTGACGACCTGTGGTCCTGATGGTGGCACTCTAAGAATCATTCTCTTGGGATTCGGCACCAGACATCTGAGCCGCCTGGTTTGCATCCGGCTCCCAGAGCCCAGACTGCTGCCACAGCCAAGGGCTGTCAGGCGGGATAAAAATAACTTGGAGGAGGGGGAATACAGGCAGAGGCGGCTGGGCTCTTCAAGGTCATGCAGCGGGTCGAGGGCCTGAGAGCCTGAGAGCCCACGTTTCACACAGCTGCCTCCGCTCAGAGGCCAGCTCACTCCCCAGCTCCACCTCAAGCCACTTGCCTTTCTAATGGGAATAAATGGCCAGTGGACCAGCAGAGACTGAACTGACATTTAGGGTCGCCCTATCCGGGGACAAAGTGTGGAAGCCTCTCTGTCCTCTTTGGTGAGCACTTGCTCCCCCACAGTACCTCTGAGGACTGCCCAGTGTGCCATCCAGGAACACCCTGGTTAATGCCTGGCAAAACCAAGATTGTGGGAACCTGTAACTCCTATTCACTGATGCTGGGGCCATGCTGATTATGAAATACTTGCAAGCTTGTTCCAGAAAGCCCCCCATCCTGGTCCCAGCCTTTGATGGAACCGCGGTCGTCAGAGCTGTAGTAAGGAACCTGTGGGCACAAAAGGAGCGTTTACCAAACCCTGGGAGCATAAGGGTCATTTCAGAAAAGTGGGACAGAGGGCAGAGGTCATCTGAGTGACCCAGAAAGAGTTTGTGCATAGGCCATGAAGAGATAAAGACTTCTTCACTCCTTAGTAGAAGCAAGTTCTTTAATCTTGCTGCCATATTGGACCCGTCTGGCATCTCTGTGGAGTGCATCATCAGCCCACTGAGAGAGACAGATCCGGGGTGGGGTGGGGTAGAAGAGTCATGCAGGTTCCTGGGGCTGCGGAGAGGTGATAGAAGTCCCTGGATATTAGGGTCTTACCGCGGGCATGCAGTTTGGCAGCTTCCTAGCCAGAGGTTCCGCCTTCACTCACAGGTGCGCTCTGGGAAACACATTTCCATGTTGCAGGTACCTGGAATGTAACTCCGCGGAAATACGGCAAAAGTGGCATCCATCCTGGTTGGCCTTGGGACATTTTCCCGGGAGACTGGGCAGGTGACTTCTCCCCCACTCCACAACACCCAGCTGAGTACTCAAATCTCCTGCTTCTAGTCTCGAGCCTTTCTGGCGGCCCCAGCGCTCTCGTCCCACTGCAGGGAGCTGCAGACAAGCCATAAAGATGTTTAGTTCTGGAAACCTCCACCAACAAACTTCCACTTCTGCTTCCTGGATGTTTCTAGAGTCTCTGACCCATAGCTCCAGGTCTGGCAATGCCCCCTCTCCCCTAGATTATTGCCCAGTTTCTTTGCTTTGCTCTGTCTGTACCAGTCAGTTCTCAGCAGCCATGTGGTGTGTGCAGAGCATGCCATATCAACCCAGCCTGAAACCTAGACGCCACCCCCACCCCACACCCTGTTCTTCCAATGACAAAATCAGCTCTCTTTCTCAATCCTAACCTGACTTCTGCCCTTGTTTCTTGCCGGCCCCTAACCTGCTCAGCGCTTATGCTGCACAGGCCTGGTCTCATATCCTCAGCATTCCCATCTTTAGAATTTCTCTCATGAGGTTCCCAGAATGTTCCTCCTTTCCCTTGGCATGACCTACTTCAGCTCCTCAGGCCTGGCCTTCCACATCACCTCTCCTGGAGGCCTTCCGGGACTGATGTGCTTGAATAACTCATTCATCTCCAAAGTCCCAATTGTTTCTCTTCATGGAGAGTTTGCTAATGCATACCTGCTTGTGTGCTTGTTGGTTAGGCATGTTCCCCACTGGAATGTGAGCTCAATGAGTCCGGGGGCCATACCTGGCCTGTGCTCACATCTGTACTCAGCCCTGAGCACAATGCCTGCCCATCATCACTGACCTATGAACTTTTGTTGAATATATAGATAGAGGCGGTGAGAAGGCTTCTGGCTTCCTGTGCACAGACCCCATTGGGGGTGGATTCCACCCCCGTTCCTTCCGGCTGGCTTAGAGAGGAGACAGGAGAGTCAAGGCCAAGGAGACTGGGCGTTCTGGCAGAATGGTCAGAAGTCCCCGGCCAGAGGAGAAGCAAGCCTGTTGGCCCTGGGGTGCAAGCTCCCAGCCGAGGCTGCCAGCAGGTTTGTTTTTGCTCTTGGCCTAACTCTGTAATACATCCAGCTCCCAACAAATGCCACATTCGTGGAGACCCACCCCGTGCCAGCCAGGACAGACAGAGCCTAAGGTAACCAACACACGGTCACTCAGAGGGCAGCGTATCCTCTGCCTAAGTAAGATGGACGTGGAAAGAGCTCTGGAGAAGGCTGAGGGCTGCAGAATGGGTGTGCTTCTCTGGGAGGGGGCCCTGGAAGGAAGCCCTCCTGGAAGAGGACCAAGGGACTCCCCTTGCGGAGATCTAGAAATTCAAGCAGGAAGCTACAGAAGCTTGGAGTTCCTGAGTGCAGTCCCTCAGTGCAAGTTTGCCTGAGCTCTGAAACTGATCTTTCTCATTAACGAGAAGGGATTTTCTTCAAGTTCTTGGCCTTCTTGAACTTAACGTTTTCGTTTGTTCAGCGGCCACAGTGCAGTAATGGCTACCCACATCTGTGCACACGCATACACACAAATACAAATTTAATAAAATTGTTTTAAAGAAAAAGAATTTGGTGGTGCTGAGCATAGAGGTCCATCTGTATCCTCAGCGTTCAGTGAAGCAAGAGGATCAGGAGTTCAAGGCTACCCTGGGCAATATGAGACTGTCTCAAACAAACAACAACTCAGGGGGGTGTACCGGAGAGATGGCTCAACGGTTAAGAGCACTGTGGCTCTTGCAGAGGACCCAGGTTCGGTTCCCAGCGTGGCACCTAACAAACACTTGTAACTCCAGTTCCAGAGGCTCGGAGGCTTGCTTCTTGCCTTCTTGGCACTGGTTGCTTATGGTACAGACATGCAGGCAGAACACCCACGCACACAGAAACAAAGTATAGCAACAATAACAAAATTATAGCAACAATAACAAAATGATGATGAAAAAGAAGGAGGAGGAGCAGGAGGGGGAAGAGGAAGAAAAGGAATAGGAGAGGAGATTCAACCTCACCTATTCCTAAATACTTTTGATAACAGTGCTCAGGCCGGGTGACTGTGGTTTAGCCTGTCTGGGCCGGGGTCAGCCCCTTATTAGGAGATACAACGAGAAGAACTGGGATTATTTCTATTCAATAGGTGGCTTAGAGTCCAACCTGAAGAAGGCTGATGACCGCTTGACTGCTTACTTTTAGTCTAGTTTTCTTTTTCCTTGTTGGTTGGGTGGGTGGTTTTGTTTTATTTATAGGGTATCAAAAAATAGTCCAGACTGGCCTTGAACTCTGTACCACTGAGGATGACCTTGGACTTCTGCTCCTGCAGCTACCTCGCAAAGGCTGGGGTTACAGGTGTGCCCCCTCAGATCTGGCTTATGCAGTTTATGCTGGGGCTCAGGTCCAGGACTTCGTGTGTGCCAAGCAAGCACTCTGAAGACAGGGCAAGGTAGAATTAATTTCTACGGGGACATTTCCATGCCCTGGCTCCTTTCCCAGTCCCCAGCCCATAGCAGATTAAGGAATGTTTCATCTGTGCTACTGTGATTTGAATGTGGTTTGACCAACACACAGTGCACACAGTACTGCAAGAGCCCCTTTGAAGCCAAGGTCCAAAGCACATAGAGTTAAATGAGGAGAAAACATACCAGGTGCAGACACCCCTGATCTTGCTCTCATGGCAGACATTACTAATCAATTTCACATCCTGTCCCCTTGTTATTTTCTTCTTAAGATTTTTTTATTTTATTTGGGGGTGTCTGAGTCAGGGTTCTATTTCTTTTCTGTGAAGAGATGCCATGACCACAGCAACTCTTTTTTTTTTTTTTTTTTTTTTTTTTTTTTTTTTTTTTTTTTTTTTTTTTTATGTATATGAATGTTTTATCTGCATGCCAGGAGAGGGCATTAGATCCGACTGTAGATGTCTGTTTGCCCCCACGTGGTTGCTGGGAATTGAACTCACGACCACTGGAAGAACAGCTGCTGCTCTTAACCACTGAGCCATCTCTCCAACCCAACCACAGCAACTCTTATAAGGAAAAACATTTAATTGGGGCTGGCTTACAGTTTCAGAAGTTTAGTCCATTATCATCATGGTGACGTGCAGGCAGACATGGTGCTGGAGAGGTAGTTAAGAGTTCTACATCCAGATAGACAGGCAGCAGCAAGAGAGAATGATACTGGGCCTGGCTTGAGCATTTGAAACCTCAGGGCCCACCCCCTGTGACACACTTCCTCCAACAAGGCCACACCTATGCCAGCAAGTCCATGCATCCTAACTCCTGTCAAGTAGCATCTCTCCCTATTGATCAAGCACCCAAGTCTATGAGCCTATGGGGGCTCACATCACTGTGTGTGTGTGTTTGTGTGTGTGTGTGTGTGTGTGTGCCTCACGTGAAGGCCACATGAATCAGTCTCTGCTTCTACCGTGTTTTCAGGCAGGCTCTCTCTCCTTTCAGCTGTTACTCTGCACATTCTAACTTCCAGCTGGCTCTTGTTTCTGCCTCCCACCTCACCACAGGAGCGCCGTTATCACAGGTAGGCACCTCATAGCCAGCTTTTACATGGGTGCCTGGGGTCGAACTCACATCTCCAGGCCTGCACTGCAGGTACTTCATCCACGGGGCCATCTCACCAGCCCACCCTTGTCTCTTCTAAAAGACAGCCGAAATCCAGAAGCAAATGTGGCTAATCATTGCTGGCACAGCAGTCAAAACCCATGTGCCTTCTCTAGACACTGACGAGCTCTGCTTGGCCCTCACTCAAGACTGAGTTCATAGGTAACCAGGCTTGGGGATTTCCAGCTTCGTTCCTGTAGTATTGTGAATTATTAGCCCGAAGCACCTGGCCCTGGGCCATGACCAGCAGGGAATATGTGTGGGTATCATGCCTGTTTCCTCAGTCCCTGTCGGAGCCCACGGGTGTAAATTCGTCCCACCTTGACCAAAGGTCAGAGAGCTCAGGCCTATTCTTGCTCCTTCGAGTTTATTGACAGGAGGTTTGACCCAAGGTGTGGCCACTAACAGGATGTTTGACCTAGGATGTGACTTCTTGATGCTTTGGGTGTTGAGAAGATGATTGCCTTGTTCATCGAATCTTGGCAAAGGAGTCTTTTGTCTTCCCCTCCTCTTGGATGGGGGTATGTAAAGCCTTTGAGAAATAAATGTGAGCAGATTCAGTGTTCACTGGGTTGCCTGGGTTGCCCTCCCGACTCTATCCTGCGTCTCTGTCTATTTCTTTTGTGACTCTGTTCTTTCTGCCTAACATTTCTAATTCACACACCCCTACCCTGGAACATACGAACCTGTCGAATCTGGACCCCGACAAGTCCCTGAGGACAGGACTCCTATAGAGATTCCGTGTCCGGTGGTATACGATGGCTGAGAGAGGGCTGCAGCAGGCTTCTGACAGCCCAGCACCTGAGGTGCTCACAGGGAACACAGATCGTCCTGGGCAGAGCTCGAGCAGCTTCCCTGCACAGTCAGAGATGAAGCTGGGATTGATGCCTTCCGCTCAGGCCCCGAAGTGCAGACTTGGATTCCTATAGCCAGTGTCTCAGAGGCATCTCAGACTACCACGCCCAAAGCCACAAGTCAGATCCCTTCAGATCTGGTCCCCACCACACGTGGACTCTGGTTCCTCCCTCTGACGGACCCTTCAGATCTCGTTCCTT